GAAACCCACCAAGAAGCTGGCTGGAGTACGTTTTGCTGACATCGGTGGCGGGGATCTCGCATCATCCATATCCTTGGACGACGACACTACTACTCCTAACCCTATCGCCGCTTCCTCTTCTGACGCTAGTTCCACTGCAGTAGAGACCAGATCCGTGGGCCAGACTTGCCAGCCTCGAGTTCATCAAATCTCCTGTATCCGTTGTGGATACACGGCACCACTTTCCCTGAGGATGTCGCACCAGCACGAGCTGCCGCTAACAGACAACTGCCAACCCCACCTCCCTCGAGTTCCTATCAATTCCTCCTTCCTACCTCAACACAGCTACTGGCGACCCCCTCCTTCTCTGGGATTCCGGATACACCTCTTCACTGCGGAGATCATACCTATTCGGAACACCTTCCAACGTGGACGTCCTTGGTAAGATATGGATGCCTTCACACTCTACTTTGAATCCACGTGGATGGGTACATCGAACAGACCTGCCCGCTTTGATCAACTCTCCTGGAACCATGAGTATGATTGCAGTCTAGCTGGACTCCCTCGCTCTTCAAACGTTGCAAAACAATGGCATAATGGTTTCCGCAGTCTCGTCCAGTGTACTAATCATACCAAGGACTTACAGACGGAAAGGCTGATTTTATTTCTCTTAACTTTTAGAATACTACCAAAGCAAATTGGTTGCTTTTCATTTCATTTAAGTAAAATGTATAACTGTCATAGAAATATCGTACAATCGAAAATATAACTAAACTAGTGTAATGTATTGGAATTGGGTTAATTTTAATTAAATTAAAGGTTAGGTTAATTTTAATTAAAAATACATCTGATACAGGCTGATGGGGGTCCATAACAACAAGAGCTGCCATAACTTTTGACATGATCTTAAATGTTGCAATGTCATATTACGTACTGTATGACATATCTCGTTATCGATACTATATAACTTTCAACAGACGACAGGAGACATCATCATTCATCATTCGACCATCTACACTTCACAACTATAGCAATGGAATACACGGACTTTTCAATCCAATTCCCATATCCCTACTTAGTCTATCCCCATCTAGTATCCAACCTCTACCCCTTGAAGCTTACATCAACCTGGACGACATCCTTATCCCGGCCCCCTGCACGAACCTTTTAGAAGTTCTAACCACATCCCGGGGGAAGCCCATGATTGTTCACGAACTAGACAACTTATTTCAGCAACGATCGGAACAGAAAAACAACATTAGTTACAGTCTGCAGATGTAACCTATACCACGCGAGGAATGGAAGTTGTCCTGCTACCGTTACTACAGACAAGGACAGAAGTCTTCTTCTAAGTTTCAACGGGCCCCACAACCATCCGGACAGAAGCCCTAGCAGTCTAGAGAAACATAGGAAAAGACATCGGCTTCACGTCACTTACTCCGCCGATATCACGAAACCTGTTAGAGCTCTGGCATCAGAGCTTGGAGTAACTGTCGACAACACATTTCGCATACAACACTCTAGGATTAGGAAAAGACACCGAAAAATTGCCGCTGAAACCGGAATGCTTGCAGCTAAAGAACCAGAACCAGAACCAGAACCAGAACCAGAACCAGAACCAGAACCAGAACCAGAACCAGAACCAGAACCAGAACCAGAACCAGAACCAAAACCAGAACCAGAACCAGAACCAGAACCAGAACCAGAACCAGAACCAGAACCAGAACCAGAACCAGAACCAGAACCAGAACCAGAACCAGAACCAGAACCAGAACCAGAACCAGAACCAGAACCAGAACCAGAACCAGAACCAGAACCAGAACCAGAAGCCACGGTCAACTCAACTCACTAAAACAACTCATCTTAGTTATGATTAAAATATAAAGATATTGTGGCAATTCGGTAATCTGCCGATGCACATCTGGGGCACACCTCGGGCACAATTCGGGGACAAACTCGGTCACAACCTTATCCTGGTTCGAGCCGCACCTTCACCATCGACGGAGAAGTTTCAAAGTACGACAGGATCCTGGCACGTGTCCGGAATGGTGCTACGAAGAAGGAGGCACACGCTGCAGAGGGGATATCTGAGTCCTTTTTCGGCAGGAAGCGCTGCATAGCAGAGGCAGCGAGGATTGACCTACCTTCTCTCCGACATGGACTCCTCCAGCTGATTAATCGGGTGAGTGTATCCTAAGACTTTGCCGGTGTAGTGACAATGATCCAGATGTTTCTTATCAGTATGCTTTGATTCACAAATAATACAATTAGGATTTGAATCAAGAAGTGCCAAAGTTGCCTGATCTACCTTCTCCATTGGTTTTACCATCTCCAATACTGGTCTAAGACGCTCATACAATCTCTTACGTGGGACGCAGGCTAAAATTTACTAAAGTCGAGTTAGAATTATTCAGTGAACTGATATGTATACTAATTTCATTGAGCAGGCAATTCGAGGAGGAATCAGTACAATCACGCATCGGTATGGAAAAGCTAATAACCATCATCTCCCAGATTACAATCCTGAATTACCTGAAAGCTACCTCGGATACATTGATGCAAATAACCTCTACGGATGGGCAAATGACAGAAACTTTCCCCCACATCGAAGTCAGTGTACAGGATAAACTTCTGGCTAACAGAAATCTCCCTGGATGGCTTGCCGGCAACCATATCCGCGTACTGTTGATCGGGAGCACTTTCAAAACTCTCTTTGGAGATACAAAGTCTCCCGAATGCACGGTTATTCAAGGATCTGAAGAATCATGGGACTACTCCCTCTGACTGGATTCTTTCCACGCTCCCAGATATTCCATCATCCCACCAGAAAGATTAAGAAGAACTTCTCGAATACAATCGCCTCCCTACTCTCCTCCTGACAACGTGATATACCTGCCCCGGGTGACTACAAAAGAGCTCCTGGTCATGAGTAAAGTCATAACTCGGAGGGACCATTGAAAGGAAGAAAGGATACGTCTACAAGATTCACTCAATTCAGCGACCAGACAGACCACCACCTCGGTGGAAATGTCGAATGTCAATCTACATCCTAAAGATGACTCTCCTACCGTCCTTGACCTACACTGGCAGACCAAGAGGAAGGATGGAAAAGATGAACCTCTTCTTTTGACTTCGCCATCCACCGAGCGAGGTGGTCTGCTTCTGTCTCTGAATTGAGTGAATCTTGTGACGTAATCCTTTTCTTCCTTTCAATGTTCCCGCCGAGAAATGATTATACACTCATGCCCAGGAGCACTTTGTGATCACCCCTGGGGCAGGTTTCGCACGTTTTGTCAGGATAGAGAGGGATTCGATGTCAAATTCGAGAAGTTCTTCTACATCTTTCTGGTGGGATGAAGGAATATCTGGGAGGCGTGAAAGAATCCAGGAGCGGTGGAGGTGAGTCCCTGGACTTCTTTCAGATCCTTGAATAACGGTGCATTCGGAAGACTGATTGTATCTCCAAAGAGAGTTTAGAAAGTGCTCCCGATCACCAATTCGAGGATATGGTGCCGGCAAGCCATCCAGATGAGATTTCTGGTTCAGCAGATTTATCCTGCCACTTGAACTTCGAAGTAGGAAGTTCTGACACATTGCCCATCCGTAGAGGTGAATTGCATCAATGTTTCCAGGAACTCTTTCAGGTAATTCAGGAGAATGTACTCTGGGAGATGATGGTTATTCGCCTTTTGTGCATACCGATGCGTGATTAGTACTGAATTCCTCTCGAATTGCCTCTCAATGAAATTAGTAATACATATCAGGATCCTGAATAATTCTAAACTCACATTCAGTAAATATTAAAGGCCTGCGTCCCACGAAAGACTTAAGGAGCGTTATAAAAATTGAACAGGATCAAGGATTATATACGAAAACACTCTGTCCAGATACTGGCTGCAGCACCGAATCCAGGAGAACAACGTCAGAGGGAAATGTAGAGGTGAACCATTTCAATTGAGACTCTTCAGAACGCAAACTCCTCCAAGACTTTCTGTGCGTAGCGAATCCTCCTCTGTGCCGGCTCTTTGCTGAGAATGCTATAGAAGGCTTCGATGGAGCGGTAACTCAGTTTTCATCAAAGACTTCGAAGGATGAGATGTACGAATAGGGATAGACCCTTTACTAGGGGGGGGTGATTGTTCAGGAGCTTCAGCGGTCTAGCTGGACACACACACACAATAATGCTGAGGATCCAACTACACCATACTTTAGTCGAAGGAATCGTTGGGTCGGTTTCGAAGGCTGCAGGTCCCTGATGAGCTGAGATTTTACTACAAGATTCTCCAAAGAAGAAAATAATAATGATCGTTAAAAAAAACATAATATCGTAGATAAATAAATAAAATGGTTTCAAAGTGTGTACTGCATATGAATCAATGAATCTGAACATACGGTACTGAATGCTATATAGACTCCTTGGGATTGGGTAAGATGTTATATCCCATGGATCTTGTGTGCGTTTTGCAATTTTTTTAGTGTTTTTTTATGGGGGGGTGTTTTGTTTTTTTGTGCCTTGATTATCTCATGTGAAGTCATAACCCTTAAGATGGTGTAAAATCCGGATTGGAGTATTATTTATGATCGCATTGTTGTAATGTATTCCGGGTAAAATTATCTTTATCCCGTTAAGATTGGGAAGAAAAATAGGTATGTATTCTGCGCCGCGTTTTCTATATTACAAACGGGTTGAGTGTATCCTAAGACATTGTCACTACACCGGCAAAGTCTTAGGATACACTCACCCGATTAATCAGCTGGAGGAGTCCATGTCGGAGAGAAGGTAGTCAATCCTCGCTGCCTCTTCAGAATATCCCCTCTGCACGAGTGCCTCCTTCTCGTAGCACCATTCCGGACCCGTGCCAGGACCGTCGTTACTTGAAACTTTCTCCGTCGATGGTGATGGTGCGCTCGAACCAGGATAAGGTTGTGCCCGAGTTTGTCCCCCCGATTTGTGCCCTGAGGTGTGCTCCAGAAATGTGCATCGCAGTTACCGAATTGCCACAATAACTTTATATTTTTAATCATAAACTAAGATGATTGTTTTTAGTGAGTTGATTTGACCATGGCTTCTGGTTCTGGTTCTGGTTTCTGTTCTGATCTGGTTTCTGTTCTGTGTTCTGGTTCGGTTCTGGTTCTGGTTCTGGTTCTTTAGCTGCAAGCATACCGTTTCAGCGTGCAATTTTTTCGGTGTCTTTTCCTTCCTAGAGTGTTGTATGCGAAATGGTGTTGTCGTCAGTTACTCCAAGCTCTGTTGCAGAGCTCTAACAGGTTTCGTGATAACGGCGGAGTAAGTGACGTGAAGCCGATGTCTTTTCCCCTATGTTTCTCTAGACTGCTAGGCTTCTGTCCGGATGGTATTGTGGGGCCTGTTGAAACATTGAAGAAAACTTCTGTTCTTGTCTGTAGTAACGTATCAGGACACCTTCCCATTCCTCGCGTGGTATAGTTACATCTGTTATCAGTAACTAATGTTGTTTTGTCTTTTCCATCGTTGCTGAAATAAGTTTGTCATCGGGAACAATCATGGGCTTCCCCCGGGATGTGGGTTATAAGAACTTCTAAAAGGTCGAGCATGGGGCCGGGTAGGATGTCGACCAGGTTGTGTAAGCTTACAAGGGGTTGAGGTGGATCCGGATGGGGATAGACTAAGTAGGGATATGGGAATTGATTGGAAAAGTTCGTAGTATTCCATTGCTTAGTTGTGAAGTGTAGATGGTCCTAAAGATGATGTCACCTGTCGTCTGGTTGAAAGTTATATAGTATCGATAACGAGATATGTCATACAGCACGTATGACATTGCAACATTTGAGATCATGTCAAAAGTTATGGCAGCTCTTGTTGTTATGGACCCCCATCAGCCTGTATCAGATGTATTTTTAATTAAAATTAACCTCACCTTTAATTTAATTAAAATTAACCCAATTCCAATACATTACACTAGTTTAGTTATATTTTCGATTGTACGATATTTGATATTTTACTTAAATGAAATTATTTGCTTTGGTAGTATTCTAAAAGTTAAGAGAGAATAAATAAAATGAGCCTTTCCGTCTGTCAGTCCTTGGTATGATTAGTACACTGGACGAGACTGCGGAAACCATTATGCCATTGAGTGGAGTTGGGTTAAAAACATATAAGAGATACGATGATTTAACTTGTAGAAGCTTTCAATAAACATGTGTTAATCGTCGTCAGCTGAATGTGATGTGGTGGACAATGCTTATATGTGATTGAGTGGTGTCAGGGATGGAGGGTGGGGGAGGTATGGGTGGGAAAGTGAAAATTACAGTACAATGTCAATAAAAATTTTGTCTTCTGTTGAGGTTGAGAAGGAAATGCCAGATGGTCTGGACTTTAAGGATTTGGCAATTTTAGGAAGAATGGGGTCCCAGAGGGAACTACATTTGGGTGCGCGGTCTGTTCTGTTCATAGCTGGTTGTCGTATTTGTATAGCTGCGTGTTCTGTGAGGTCTAGTTGGGTGCGTGAGGTGAGGGATTTGAGGACTTCGATGTTGTTCCAGGAGATGGTGTGGCCGGTGGTCAGGGCATGATGTGCAGGGGCTGATTTGATTCTGTCTGTGGATTCGTCGATGGCGTTGTTGAGTCTGTAACATCGTTCGTGTTCTTTCATGCGGTGGACCAAGGGTCTGTAGGTCTGTCCGGCGTATTTGGAGGGGCACTGTGAGCAGGAAATTTCGTAGATGGTGTTGGGGGTGAGGTGAGTAGGGGGTGTGGTCTTCGTTTTGGTGAGGAGGTTGCGGAGGGAGGTAGCAGAGGAGTGGGTGACTTTGATGTCGTGTTGTCCGAGTATCTTGGAGATGGGTTTGGATAGGGAGGGATGGAAAGGAAGAGAAACACTAAGGGCATGTTCACGGGTCTGTCGGTTGAATGAGGCTAGGGATTGGTGGCGAGAGGGGTTGGTGAATTTCCGTTGTACTTCGTCCATGATGGTGGTGATGCGGTGAGGAGGGAAGCCGTTCTGGAGGCAAACGTGTCGTACTGTTTGGAGTTCGTCGTCAAGGTGTTGGGGTGAGCAGATGTTGTGGGCTCTTCTGGTCAGTGATCGGATGACTGCGTTCTTAGATGAGTTGGTGGTGCAGGAGGAGTACTTGGTGTAGAGGTTGGTGTGGGTGGGTTTTCTGTAGACTGATGTGGATTTGTCAGGGTGGATGAGAACGTCAAGGAAGGGTATAGTTCCGTCTGTAGAGGGATGTTCTTGGGTAAAGTTGAGGTCTTCAGTAAGGGAGTTAAGGAATGTAAGGAAGGATTCTGCGTGGTTTCTGTCTCTGAAAGATCCAAGGCCGTCGTCAACGAAATGGGAGTAAGTGTTAGGAGGGTCAGGACATGAGGATAAAGCTAAGGTCTCGATTTCAGCAAGGCGGATTTCAGCTAGTTCAACAATGAGGGGGGATCCCATTGTACCACCTTCGTCTTGGGAGTAGAAGGAGCCGTTGAATTCAAGGTATGAGTTGTCAAGGCAAAAGTTGATAAGGGAGCCTATGGTGGTGGTGGTGACATTGGAGGGAAGACGAGAGGGGTTCTGTTCAAAGGAGGAGATGACAGTTTTGAGGGCTAGGCGCATGTCACAGGAGGTGTACAAGGATTGGACGTCTAAGGGAGGCGTGGTAGTGGAAGGAGGGATTGAGAGAGGAGTCGAAGCGATGTTTGAAGTCGGAAGAGTCTTTGAGGCGTAAGGGGTTCTGGGCTAGGGGTTTGAGGAAAGATGCGAGGACTTTGTGGAGGGCTTGGAGGGGGGTGTTGTAGAAGCTGACTACGGGACGGATAGGTGCGCCGGGTTTGTGTATCTTAGGTTGTCCGTAAAGTTGAGGCCATCTAGGATGTAGGTTGCGCATCTTGTGGTATAGGTCGGTCGTGATCTTCTTGTCGGTGTGTAGTTTCTTGAGGACTTTCTGTAGTTTAGTGGTAACGGATTGAGTGGGGTCTTTCGTTAAGAGGGTGTAACTACCTGAGGATAAGTGGTCGGTAACTTTGGTTATGTATTGATCGTGAGTCAGTACAACAGTGGCGTTGCCCTTATCAGCAGGAAGAAATTTCAATTCAGATTTCTTAGATTTTAAAGATTTAAGAGCGGTACGTTGTTGTGGAGTCAAATTGTCGGTGGTCATGTCACGTTTATTGTCAAATTTAGATAATACAGAGGTGACCTGATATGTGGCTGAGGCTTCCATGCCTTCTCCTAGTTGTTTAGTGATATTCTGTATGAGGGGAGCCAGGTCGGGGGTAGGATCTGAGGTGGGTGTCGGGACGAACTTCAGTCCAAGGGAGAGGACGTCAGTTTCAGCTGTGGAGAGGGTCTGTCCAGAGAGGTTGATCACTGTTTTGGCTGTGGTGTCTTTCTTGGGGGTAGGTGAGGTCTTGAGGAGGGGACCATGAAATGTGGGAGAGGGTATGTCGAGCGTTTTTATTGTTGTTCTGCTACGTTTGAAGAGCGAGGGAGTCCAGCTAGACAGCAATCATACTCATGGTTCCAGGAGAGTTGATTAAAGCGGGCAGGTCTGTTCGATATACCTATCCGCGTGGATTCAAAGTAGAGTGTAAAGGCATCCATATCTTGCCAAGGACGTCCACGGTGGAAGTTGTTCCGAATAGGTATGATCTCCGCAGTGAAGAGGTGTATCCGGAATCCCAGAGAAGGAGGGGGTCGCCAGTAGCTGTGTTGAGGTAGGAAGGAGGAATGGATAGGAACTCGAGGGAGGTGGGGTTGGCAGGTTGTCTGTTAGCGGCAGCTCGTGCTTTTCGGACCATCTTCGAGAGACTGCTGGTGCGAGACATCCACAGGGAAAGTGGTGCCGTGTGTCCAAGATCGCCACAACGGATACAGGAGATAGTCTGACAGGAGTTTTGATGAACTCGAGGCTGGCAAGTCTGGCCCACGGATCTGGTCTCTACTGCAGTGGAACTAGCGTCAGAAGAGGAAGCGGCAATAGGGTTAGGAGTAGTAGTGTCGTCGTCCAAGGATATGGATGATGCGAGATCCCCGCCACCGATGTCAGCAAAACGTACTCCAGCCAGCTTCTTGGTGGGTTTCTTCTTTTTCTCGCCAGGTTCTGCTCTTCTGATGATCTCTCGTAGAGCCTCCTTGGCAGGTAGGTTGGAATTCATCCTAGAGATAGCTGTACTCTGTCATATTCGTGAACGATACCAAAGATTGAAACTAGGTGCTCCGCTCGGTATGGTGGTGGCAGATGTGGAGGAGGTGCGGCAGGTGCGGAAGGGACAGTAGGAAGCGGTGGAGTTATTATACTTAAGAAATAGGAATTTCTGAACATTTTCTGACTTTAAATTGTATTTTCCCTGTGTTATTCGTTTTGCTATTTTGAACTCTCGCTCACTAGCAATAGATCCCATCGGGACAAAGAGAAATTTCCTGTCCAGAGATGCTACCAAAATGTACTGCTCCTCGTGAGCGGCAGTACGGCGGCAGTACGGCGGCAGTACGGCGGCAGTCCCGCGGCAGTACGGTGTCCAGAGATGCTACCAAAAGGGTCATACATCAGAATTCCGGCGGCAGTCCCGCGGCAGTACGGCGGCAGTACGGCGGCAGTACGGCGGCAGTACGGCGGCAGTACGGCGGCAGTCCCGCGGCAGTACGGCGGCAGTACGGCGGCAGTCGTGCGGCAGTACCGCGGCAGTGCCACGGCAGTATAGTGACAACACTTATATCAGACTTTTGATCCAATTATTTCATGAGTTTGATCATTAGTTCACATTGATTTGTCAATTAAAGAGACGATTTTGATGATTTGTCAATTAATATATTTGGATAAATCAATATTAGTTGTAAATAAGTTCATACAATATCATTATAACTTTAAATCAGTAACTGTCACCCTGGAGCAATAAAATAATTTACATTTAGAGAATCTTTCCAGCAGCAATTGCGAGTCGTTTCTTCTCCAGAAAGTCACTCTGCTTGAGGATAGCCCCACATAGGTCAGAGAGAATCTGCTGGTTGATCCTGTCAGTCCGCTCCTTTGATGAGACTGCCGAATCGTGGTCTATCAAGGATAATCAGCTCTTCTATCTTCTTCTTGCGGTAGAAGGATCTTTGGCACCAGGAGGAAGGTATGTGGCACTCCAACCAGGGTGAACGGAAGTGTTGATTTTACTCCAACATACTCGATCAGCTCCGACTTCAGGTGGATGGAGGGTAGGGACGGCTTTCTGATGTCCAGCTGCCAGTGTAGGTCAAGTTGGCGACGGAGGAGAGTCATCTTTAGGATGTAGATTGACTTCGCCATCCACCGAGCGTGGTGGTCTGCTCCTGGTCTCTGAATCTTGTAGACGTATCCTTTCTTCCTTTCAATGGTCCCTCCGAGTATAACTTTACTCAGCTCCAGAAGCTCTTTATAGTCATCCCGGGGCAGGTTCCTCACGTTGTCAGGAGAGAGTAGGGAGTCGATGTATTCGAGAAGTTCTTTTTCATCTTTCTGGTAGGATGAAGGAATATCTGGGAGCGTGAAGGAATCCAGGTCGAGGGAGTCCCATGACTTCTTCAGATCCTTGAATAACGTGCATTCGGGAGACTTTGTATCTCCAAAGAGAGTTTTGAAAGTGCTCCCGATCACCAGTTCGAGGATATGGTGCCGGCAAGCCATCCAGAGGAGATTTCTGTTCAGCATCTGTTGTAGGAGAGTACAGGCACCCTTGTGAACTCCTGTGTTCGAACTCATCGTATCAAAGCCCATGGAGATGATGTAGGAGGCAAGCTGCCAGTCATCCAAGGACTTCTTCACGGCCTCTGCTTCCGTCTTTCCTGTAGACTATAAAGGGTCCTAAGAGTAGCAAGATTGCGGTTGCAGATCTCGCTTGAGAAGGGGTATGGCAACTTGGTCGTTTAGCTCCGGACAGTCTATGCAACGTCTATGCAACGTCCATGCAACAACAAAAGAACCGTCTATGCAACGTCTATGCAACGTCCCTGCACAATGAACACTCTATGCACACTCCCTGCACGGTCAGTCTATGCAACGTCTATGCAACGTCTATGCAACGTCTATGCAACGTCCCTGCACAGTACCATATGAACACCGGCTACTAGCCGGCTACTAGCCGGCTAGTAGCCACTTTTGTAATAACAGCTCCTCAACTTCACATTACCAACCGGCTACTAACCGGCACTTGAAAAGTGGTCACTAGCCGGCTACTAACCGGCTACTAGCCGGCTAGTGACCACAAAGTGGCTACTAACCGGCTACTAAGCGGTCACTAGCCGGCTATTAGCCGAGCTCTAAAGCAGACCTACTAGTAGCCGGTTCCAAACCGGCTACTAGCCGGCACTTAGAAAGCGGTCACTAGCCGGCTACTAACCGGCTACTAACCGGCTAGTAACCACCAAGTGGCTACTAACCGGCTACTAACCGGTCACTAGCCGGCTCTTAAGCGGACCTACTAGCCGGCACTCGAAAAGCGGTCGCTAGCCGGCTACTAACCGGCTACTAACCGGCTAGTAACCACCAAGTGGCTACTAACCGGTCACTAGCCGGCTCTAAAGCGGACCTTCTAGTTCCAAACCGGCTACTAGCCGACACTTGAAAAGCGGTCACTAGCCGGCTACTAACCGGCTACTAACCGGCTAGTAACCACCAAGTGGCTACTAACCGGACACTAGCCGGCTCTAAAGCGGACCTTCTAGTTCCAAACCGGCTACTAGCCGACACTTGAAAAGCGGTCACTAGCCGGCTGGTGGGTACTAGCTGGTTAGTAGCCGGCTACTAACCGGCTACTAACCAGCTAGTACCCACCAAGTGGCTACTAACCGGCTACTAACCGGCTAATAACCGGCTAGTACTAACCTGCTCTAAGCGACTCTAAATCAGACCGGCTATAATTCATTATTGCCAAATAAACAAATTATTTGAAACAAATTATTTGAAACACGTTATTTGAAAGTAAGTTCCGAAATCGATTACAACATTTTTATGAAAAATAAAAAAATACTGAAAACTGATTACATTCAATTTCTTCGTGGTGGAGGAGCAGTGTAATTGTTTTTGGGCGCTAGGACGACGCCTTGGGTACAAAGGGTCCTAAGAGTGGCAAGATTACGGTTGCAGATCTCGTTTGCGAAGGTGTAAACACTAGGAAGTCTGACGTCTCGTAGTTGCAGCAGTGCGTGTTGAACACCTGGTAGGTCAACTTTTGCTGCTTCAGCGATACATCGCTTTCTTGAGAAGTGACTCCGAGAAATGTGTATCTGCTCCAGAGCGGCAGACTTTGAAAGTCCAGAGTTGACGTACTGAGGTAGAAGCCACCACTCATCTTTTGATAGGAAGGTGTGAGACTCCCCGAGTAGCTGGAAGATGAGGATAGAGCGGGGTCCCACGAAGTCACCAAGACGAGACTTCTCACTGGTAGTAGGCAGCTTTTCGGTTTCTGGATAGGTAAAGATTGAGACGGCAATTTTCCTATCTTAGCCGCAAGGACTTCTTTTTCCTCTTCCGGGACTTTATCTGAGAAGAGGGCAATCGAAATCAATTCTTCTGATAGGTACCAAGTGTGTCGCTGGATTATTGCGCTTGTTTTCGTAGTTGTAGTATTCCGTGCTGCAGCGCCACCATA